AAAAAAAATTCTTTTATAAGTTTTATTATTTCGTTGTACTTAAAATATAGCAATCGTTGAGACATGCAACGTTTCACCATCACCTACTTGTATATAATTAAAGTAATGTATAAATATAAATTATAAAATATCCCTTAAAAAGGAGGCTGCCAGTGCACAGTTTCTGCTCCGAATCGTTCTTACTTCATCGTCGTATGCAATGTATCATTGAATTCGAATTTATCACATCCATTAAGTGACTCGTGACGAGGTTCAAAATGAGTCTATACCAGCATTCTTTTTTTTCCACAATATTATTTCCATCAAGAGCTTAAGGTAGAATGTACACCGCACCAGTCGCAACTCACAGATTATATGCAAAAAAAAATGTATATTATACCAAAATTCGATTTGAATGTACTATCGACTACATCGTGTATTCAGTGCAAGCGCTGATATAATATGGGGAAATGCATTTTGAAATACGTAAATTAAATATTAGGTACACAAACTGCAAATGAAGGAATATGGTATTATAAAGTATATATATTTCACTATTGAAGGTGTTGAAACACTTGAAACTACACTAGAATAATTGGACAGGGTGATTCCATAAAATAATTATTACATAATTGTACAGAATATAATGACGAAAATAAAAATTGACAAATTATGAAAATAATATTCATCATTTCATTTTTTAATAATATTATTGATATTTATTATAATAATGTCAATGGAACTTTGCCACTTTTAATTTTGACGTAGATAATCATGAATTTTGTTCAAAACCCTGAATCATTGATATTTTTGTTTTAGAATTAAAAATATGAGTTTCCTTCTTTTTTTATTTTATTGCTCAATAAACAAATATTGACGATTTTTATTTTTTCATTAAATTTATACTGTGATATATTTAAGTAAGATACAGCATATATAGATCAATACAAACGAATTTAATCTTATTTGGCTTAATCTAAAAAAATGGTACCTAAAACCTATTATTCAATGATTATACGTACGATAAAAGCCAGCGAAGAACTTAAATTTGTTTTTTAGAGTATTTATTGAGTGTTTTTATTAAAAGTTTTTGTTAGCTTTTAGTGAATTATATTTCTAAAAATTGAAAAAACTCGGTAACTATTAATTATTACGCATTATGATAATTGTCAAATCAAAATTAAATGCGCTTAATAAAATAATGTTTTTAATAAAGATTCTTTATAATACTTTATTAATATCATAACAATTATTGAGGCCAGTATGACAATTAAGTGACTCACTAATGTACTTCAGATTAACTCAAGCTTAAAATAAATTTAATATGCATTAAGACTCCTTGATTTTTTAGTAAGTTGTTTTAAGAAATCGTTAAATTTGTAACTACCTAAATTATAATTCATAATTTAATCAAGCTTAAAACGTGCTTTTTCTTCATCTTAAAAATATTATCTAAAATAAAATTGATTTTTAATTATAAAATGTTTAATATCATTGGATTTATCTAGGTTGTGTGTTTAACGGTAAATAAAGTTTGTATGAACATTTTTATTTATTATGATGTCTCGAAATTGTTGTAGTTACCTACCTATTTTGTAATCTTTTAATAACAAATAATTTTTTCTTTTTTCGTTAATTTTTTTTCTTATTACATAGTTATACAGCACACAAATATCAACAAATGACGATATTATTTATTGATTTTACTTCGTAAACTTCTAAACTTGTTTAACTCACAGACTTCGTGTAATTATTATATGGATGATCATAAAATATATTGGTGAGTTGAAAGGAAATAATTGTGAAAAATACCACGAAAACCCGTTCTTATGCGAATATTAAGGATTTGGAATGTGTGTGGACAAAATTAATTATGTAATTTCAAAGTTTTAAACGGCTCTCATTTTCTGATCTCGGGATATCTACGTGCTTACGTGCTCAGGCCACACCTGCGAAATAATCGAAATTCGGTACCAGGAATTCAGAACTAAACGGCAGTCCGTGCGGTGAGTAGTACGCCGCCGAACGTAGTGTGCGGTGCAGACGACTCAAGACATAGAACTATGCAATGCGAAATTAATCATAACAATATCATGATCGAAATAGTTATGATTTTATAAACAATCAACGGAACACGGTCATTATTTAGATGTAAAATAGAAAGAGGGTTTTTGATGTATCATCTCTGTTTTTACAATATTTTACCAGTTTTTTGTATTACGATTTGTTTACAGTTTTGTTTCTGATGAGGAACATACCCAAAAATCAACAACGAACGGATAAATGCAATAGGGATATTCGTTGTGTCGTAAAATAGGTTTAAATAATTTAATGAGATCATATTTTCAAATCCATATTAATACACGGATCGAAAAGAAAACAACAAGATATTCTCAAGAATATTAATCAAAAACGTATATAATAATAATTATAATTTATAATACATTGTGTAATCCCATTAGTCTTTAACACTTCCTCAAAACTTTGTTATTATACGGACTGAAATCGTTTCGAATGTTCTTTCAGTAGCAGAATATCAGCAATAATTACCAGTCTATTCTTGAAATTGAAACATTTGACAATAATGAGTATTTTTGTACAGGTGCAACAAATTGTACATTAGTAAGAACCTATCAGCCAAATCTGAAAATATTATGCGTCAGCGCCGTCAGCTTATGATGATTTTCAACCGATGTAGTTTACAATGTTATCCCGTTGAACAGTTTGATGTAAAAATGTACTAAATAAAATATAAATATATAACAACCATTCTTGTGAGTTGTGATATTATTATCATCGAAAACTGTTGACTCATTGTCTATGAATATAATATATTATTTACAGTAAACAATTAACATTTGATGGTGTATTTAAGTAGCTCAAAATCATCAGAAAAGGTTGTTTTGATTGACATTTGTAATATTAAAAAAAATCCGATAACCTACACTTCACTATTCGTGTTAAACATACCTATATTATAATAGTAAAATGTCAATATGCCAATATATTATATTTTTACTGTCTAATATTAATTTGTACTTTCAATTTTTACGACGAGCCGTGCACACGCGTACGTACCGTATCTGTTGATCCCCCCCCCCCCGCCCCACGACGTCAAAGCAATATTCATTCTCCACCACATAGGTGGAAGCACACAAATAATTGTTGTGCGTACGGTTATTAGTACCTATTGTTTTTATTTTTTGTTTGCATCAATATAAAACCATATTTTACAATAAATAATGCGCTCGTATAAATATTGAAAAAATCACCTCTTCTGAATAAAACAAATAATAACTGTATAAAATGTCCGATAGAGATTAATTTTTTATTGTTAAAATAATACATTTACATAAATATTATGTTTTACATTATAGTCGTTAACGATTAATGTGAATTGAAGCTTTTTTACAATTTGTATAATATTATATACTTCTTAAAAAAAATCAAGTGTTTTGTATAGGTACACATTGAGTACTTGCCAACTCACACATTAACATTGCGCATTCCACATGGCCAAATAGTCAACAACAACAAAAAACTTACATTACAAATATTTTCAAAAATCCTTACAGAAACATGTAATGTCACCGTTTTATCAAATTAATTAGCTGAATTAAAAACCTGCAGGCATCGGCTATTATATTATTTTATCCGTCGTAAAAATGTTTGTCAAAAACACCATTGTGAAACAGTAACTTATTAATTTCGGTTCATACTCTCTCTTTCTCTGTATAAATATATACCATACAAATTATATATATATGCAATACATAATATACGAGGTGATTCACCAAACATGCCCAGCCCCATTTTTTCCTTCAATAATGAAATTATTAAAATTCTGATTTTGGAATTTTTTAATATACTTGACCTTTTTTAATATTCTTAATTTATTTGTTCTAATTAATCTTGTTTCGATACAAACTTTTATTTTTAAAATGAGACCCTGACCTTTTTATTGTACACTACTCGTATTTAATAGATATTTTTATGTAAAATTTTGATGTACCTAAATTTGGACTAGTAGTTTCTTAGTTATAAAAATGATTATTCTAAGGGTAATAGTCCTTAAAAATGGTTTTACCAAATTATAAAACAGCATTAGTTTGGATTTAGTTTTTGTATCCTTAAAACTCAAAGTTAAATAACTCAAAAACTACTCATACAAATTTTGATTCTGATAGTCAAATTGTTCATAATAATTATCCATTGAATAATTTACATTTGAAATGGGGGTTCAAGAATTTAAAATAATGGTGTTTGAGTATATCTAAATATTCCAAAAATCAGAATTTGATTAGTTTCATTATTAGAGAAAAATGGGGGGGGCATGCTTGGTGAATCTTGTATATACACAATTTCTATTATGTGATTGTGTATTCCCTGACATGTTATTGAGGACAGGACGACTACTAAGCATCAATCGGGATTAATAATAACGAACAATCATAAGTACTTCAGATGTTTAATAATGTTTATTTTATATTTTATTAATAACGTAACTTAATATTTTAAGGGTTTAAAGACACGAATAAATTGTTATACTTATAATATATTATATAATAATAATGGCATCTAAAAGAATATTAAAATGTATAGATGAATTAACTATATTAGATTAAATTGTTTTTTCAATTTAGTGACAATTGTGAGGATTATTAAAAGAACGTATTTAATTTTATTATACAGTGTAAAATGGTTTGACAATAGTTATTATTTTGCTTTAATGCAAAAAAGTAACGTTAGAGATTTCGTTCGACAACGTTTTTTTTGTATCTAATATCTAATTTGTTATTATTTTATACTACCTACTCAAACTTACAAGTTACAACTATAATGTGTTAAATATAAAATTGAATTATTAAATTATATTATATTAACATTTACTTATAAGTTATTATATCAAATAGTAAATACATACATATATATATATATATATATATAGGTAACTACGAAGAAGTGTAACACATAAATTATACATTTTACATGTAACAAACGGTTAAATTATAATATTATGTAATATTTTTACTTAATTTTCGTTAACTTTTGCTAACACAACTTTTATACGATAAACAACAAATACTATTTAAGATATTATTGAAATGTATTTATTCCGATTACTTTTACTTATATTATTTTGTTCAATAATACTTATAAATTACCTATTAATTATTACAAGGGTAAAAAAATTATTTTAACATAAAAATTAAGCTTTTTTGACATTAAAGATGTATAGATTACAGTAAACCATCGAGATATCAATAAATACAAATATCTATAAATTATAAATGAAACAAACTACATACTTAGTGACATGTGTTACATTATGACATGTTTGTGTATAGTGCTACTATAATAAGTTTGTATACTAATGATTAATGATTATTATTAATAAAAAGATCTTATAATAACATTATTAGCAAATTGTAGGAAAACATGTTATATTATAATACCTACGTAATATTAATATGTTTTTATGTAGTGTGTATGTGTGTATGTATGTACGTATGACGTATGTAATACTATTGTATTATAAATATTGTGACATAGATAGTTTTAAATATGTCTTATTCAAATCAACACTCCACCAATATGCTGTAAATGGAAATATGGAATGTTTCAAACGTGCCCATGTTATATTATTATAGGTACCTATGGCAAACATAGTGTTTAGTGAGTAGTGACTAATAAAATATACCTAGGTACTCCTAAATATACTAAAGGTAGTAGTTGTGCAACAAATAATAATTGCATAGTTAATTTGACACAATTATTGATTTATATATTTTCTTATGTATGTAAGTGTGTGTGTGCATGTGCTTGCGTGCTTCGCGTATCTACGTGTAGCATATGTGTGGTGTATGTATCGCTAATGAGAATCGAGTATCGTATTAACTATAGTTAGGTACACTACAAATATAACAATATTATAGTATTATAATATACATATATAATAAGAATTACGAGTATATTGATAGGAAATATATATCTGTTGAGTGTATAAAAAATAATTCAACTGAGTACTTATAGGTATAGGTATGTATAAAGATAATATAAAGATTATCGATATATTTAAACATTTAGGTACCCACCTAGATCATATAAAGTAAAACGTCTTACAACTTCATACTTGGCAGTTTTGCATAACAATATATAATATACAGAGCGTTCAATAATGTTGCGAAATGTTGCCTAGGAGATAATAGATTATCCATTACTAAATGTTTGACAACAATCAAAACATTATTTAACTTACTGTAAAATGTAAAAATAATATAATTTAATCGGTACGTAATAATAATACTGTTGCAAGTGCGAAATTTGAAATGGTATAAATATTATACGAGTATACTACCTACTTAGGTACTTACTAAGTACGTACTCAACGCCAATAGTAATTATTTGTAAATTAGTCTACCAAATAACAGTGTTTATTCGGTACTTATACGACCCACCTGATTATAATTAGATTTATAAAATGAGTTATAAAATGAGTTATAAAATGAGTTATATAATTAGTGTGTATAATTTATAATTCTGTTAAGTCGTTTTATCGTGATTATCATATATTATCGACCTTAACTAACAGTTGTCTATTTTGTTTTGTTTTTTAAACTTATTTTTGAATATACGAGCATATTAGCAATAGCGAAAATGTATTATTAATTAATTAATGGAACACAAAGCGATATAAATAATTATTATTTTAAAAAAAACATGAATACATAATTTTAAATGTTCAGTTATACTAAACGTACAGCCAGTGCTTTAGACGAAATCTAGAACACTCGCCCTTATTCTTTTCCATCGATTCTTGCTCATTCAGTGGCGTGATGTTGTATGCCAGTCTCTATATTAAACCACAACAATGATGTAATTTGAATTTATGAAGACAATAATTAAACATAATTAAAAGTGAGTATTTGAGTGGTATAAATTTTACCTTTTTGAACGAACCACTTGCCCTGCACATTTGCACTATAGCCATACCAGGTATCATAAGTATCGACGAAAAGGCTAAAGTCCAGCCTAGCCATTCAGCCCATTCTGGATACACGTAACCATTATAGCTCAGCGGTTGGTGATCGATCAAAGCAAATGTCACTACTCCCTAAAAAATAACGATTGTGCGATATTTACACAATGTATTTTTTTTTTATTAAAAGCTATTTAATGCAAATTTTATACTATTTAGTCTAGGCAGTATAAAATTAGCAGTCCTCTTTCAATAGAATTCACTAAATATTGTTTATTTTTAATTTTCTGAATTTTCAAATTATTTATATAAGTATAGGTATATATTTTCTAGTGAGCATAATATTATTATTAAGAAAACTGACATTTGTATTAAATAGTGTATTATCATAATTATAATATTATTCTGTTAGAAACAGTAGCGGTTTTGATAAAAAATGTATTTAGGGAGGGGATGAGTTCAGTCCATGGGGTGACAATAATTATATAAAAAAAATTGTTTTTATATTCTTGCCGATCGTTTCTCAAGCCAACTTACATATTATTCTTGTAATATTTTGAAACTTTTATAATAAATACTATTAATAATTTCTATAAAATATAATTGTTTAATATTTAGGTACATATTAAAAATAATTATGCAACTCCCAAGAAGGATCATCCTCCTCACCTCTCTTCAAAACCACCACTGTTAAGCAGTACCATAGCCAGGATTTTTTTTGGGGGGCTACAATGTTTCATTGCTAGAGCTAGACTACTGTCAGGTAAAGTAAGTTTGATATTCCGGGGAGGGGCTAAAGCCCTTAAGCTCTCCTGACTACGGCACTACAATTAGGTAATTAAAAGTGTTATTATATACCTAGAGACCTAGAATAAAATAGTATCAATATTTTTATAAATATTACAAAATATATTATGTAAATTGGGTTTAAGATCGAGCATCTATGTAAATTCATAATCAGAATATTATATTTTATTATACATAATATTACGTTCATAGTTTCGTATGCAAATAAAAACGAATTCATTAAATACGTGTTTCCATTGAAACTTAAATTTTTTTAATTTTAGCCTTTAAATTCTAAAGATTAGAACGTAATAATTGGTTATGAAATTCTAAAACACAATTGTCACTAAATATACTTTAGGTGATTTACTTAATAGTATACTATTTAGCAATGTAATCGAATTGCTTGCCAAATGAACAACACAGCTCTGACATTCACATGCCAACCAATCGATATTATACCTATACAGCTCATTTACAATAGTCGCTATTTTAATTAGTAATTCCTGAATTTAACATGCACACCTAATGCTTACATATTAATTAAACAATTGTTACGTGTATGTATTTTAAAATAACTACGAATATTAAATATCTACGCATTATATTTTAAAAAACTCACTATAATAAACATTGGGCTGACGAATTTCCAACATAATCGCCAATACAGCCCGGGACGGTGGCCGATCATACTTTCCACGTCGTCGCAAAATTTCTCCAAACCTAAATAGACAATAATAGAAAAATGATAATCTCTAAAATGATTGATTAATTTAAACACGCTTTTACCATAAAACCACGATACAGCTATGCATTCGAATAATGCCGAACACAGCAGAGATATACCAGCAGCATACGTGTCCAATAAGTGGAGCATATAAATGCCACCCTAAATTAAACACACACACACGGCCATAGAATATCGTCCGTGTAAAACATAATAGACGTTTTGAATATTTAATCAGTATAGTATTATAGTTTACCGGTGTCACATTTATCAGAGCCACGCAAAACGATATACCTATGACTGCAAACGTGAAACGTTCGCGTGGCCATTTACGGTTCTTAAAGAAGCCACTAAATTCGTCCATCAGTCCAGTAATGACGCATTCTAATCCACCCATCTAACCGAAACAAGTAAATAAATATACATGTTTATACATGCATATCATGTATAATGATAATATGGATGTTTTATAGCTACCGACTAACAAAATTAATGTTACAAATCACAGTATAAGTATTTATTTTATGCATAGACGAATAACATGGTATTTAAATTTTACCGCCGAATCAATGCCCAACGTGATGGACATGAAAAAAAACAACATGGCCCAGATATTTGATCCGGGTAACGTTGCTACAGCTTCAGGATAAACTTGAAACACCAGACCAGGACCTAAACAAATCGCGATGATAATGATATATTAACAATAGGTACTAATGTAACGTTTCTCTATGGCTTCAAACCGAGAAATGCCAATAAGCGTCATAACTCACCCTCAGTGGCTACCGAACTTATGGGCTTATGTTGTTTGTGTGACATGAAACCCAAATAAGTGAATATAACAAAACCGGAAAAGAAACTGGTGAAGCAGTTGACGGCTGTTGTAATCAGGCAGTCTCTAAATAAGAAAATTCGATTTGATGCGACTTCGTTGTATAATATTTTACATACACAAGCCCAAACAAAATGTAGTATATAATTATTTATTGATAAAAAATAGTTATGTACGTACGTGTAACAATTGTTTTTTATATTATTGTATGATGCGTACGACAAATGAACCCCGAATCCGGCTCCTACCGAATAAAATATCTGAACGGCTGCGTCCACCCACACCTGACGGCAAAACAATCAACTTATGTATAGTATACGCCTTAACATGTTTCCACCGAAGTAAATATTCAATTGTTACTTGTGTATCTAAAAGGCGGTACAGTTCGGGCTGTAAATAATAGGTTATGCCGGTTAGCGAGCCAGGTAACATGAGACCTCTAATCAACAAAATTGTCAATACTAAATACGGTAGTGTGGCCGTTCCCCAGACGACAATTCCTGAAAATGTATGTGCACAATATTCATTCAAATGTCGAACAACGCAAAATCGTACATCGATTGATTACGGGGTAAAATGGTAGATAGTCATTCGAGTTGTTTTTTATTTCTGGGATTACCTACCTGACGACTTAACACCTTTGAACAAGCTCAAGTACAGCATAACGTACACGATGAACACACACAACGCCAATTGCCATTTTGGATAACCCAGTTCGTTGAGACCGTCGCTCATTTGCATGCCAAGCACGCCACGGCTTTGAAAAATAAAATATTTATACTTGTTTATTACCATGTAATATACGACGGATAAACCACAACCTTCAAGAATGTATTAGGTAAATGTATAGTATGTGTTCAAATCGACAGTTAGGCATTTTAATCAATAATCGCAAATTTGTGTTGATAATTACCTATAGGTATTGTAGTAAAGCGATTGCACATAGGGACGAAAGCCTAAGGGGAGGATCTGAGGTAACACGTGGTAACATTTCAACTTATATTATAAAGTTATGACAGCAAAGGAAGACAGTTAATTGAACTAAATAAACACTAGTATAGTCGGAAATCGGAAAATAGCTGATTAAAATGTATTAGCAGTGAGGAAAAAATACCTCACACCTACATTAAAATTGAAATTGTTTTCAAACATTTTTTTAATTCAGTTTTTCTTTGATCAACATATGGTTAATAATTTGTTCTGCTCCTATAAAAATGCATGATGAAAAAAATACGACTTTTAAAACTTCTGGCTTCATGAGACTCCACATTCTAAAATTGGTTCCAGATTCCTATAAGCAACTCATACAATTATACGCGACCTCGATTATTTATTCTTAGAATTTGAAATTTGTGAAGTATTTAAAACTTTCGATGCATCTGCAAGTTTTTCATATAACGATGCACATTCTACGCCATTTGTTTATTTATTCAACGATGATATTTCGCTATAAACGCTTGAATTTCAAATATTAGATTTTTTTTTTTTAATTTCTGGATTTTCGTATAATTTATGACTCAAATTTGTTCGCGTGGAAATGCGTCAACACGTGCGACGCGTTATTGAACCGTAACACATCCATAGTAAACTGACTAAATTAAAACAGTTTTCTCGTTTGGAAGTCATAAATTTGAAAACCTATCTAGTAGTAGTTATAAATAATTTCTCTACTATATCATTCATTTTTTACAATTCAGAAATCATTTGTAGTTCTATGTAGAAAACTAGATGTTATATTATTATAAATATAAATAAAAAAAATCCACATATCACATAATATCTTAATTATAACAATTAACAATCGTTTATATTTTGTATAGATTTAGACCTACTAAACCAAGATTTGAATGTATAAAAGTTTTCGAATACAAATGGAGTACAATAATTTGTATATTATATGATTTATATAAAATATTGTAAGAAATACCTAGTGAAACTAAGGGTATTATTTTATTTGATGAATAAATTATTAAACAGCTTTAAATATCACATGTTAAGAGTGTTTAGGCGTTAAAAGAGAATTATTATTTAAATGGCATCTTATACGCTTTTTAGAGTTTTAGACACTTGCACGATTTTAGAAAAAACTGACTAAGTTTAAGAGATGATTAACCTTCGTTCTGTCATTTGGAATTTATTTGAGATAGACGTATAGTTGTCGTCTTGGACTTTGAAAAGTTCATTTAGGCTGAATAAACGTAGTCTAAGCTGTTACGTTTTAACCTTTCTTGGCCTGTAAAGTACAGTGACTGTTATTATAACAAATAATATTTTAATAGTTTTAGACACTCAAACCCTATTACGAAATATTGAGTTCAAATAATTATGTAAATTATTTATGATGGAGGGAGGGTCTCAAGTTGAATATATCATATACAATAAACATCTTATACAAGTAGATACATTTTCATGTAGGTATACCTAGGCAGATAGCTGACCATTGTAATATAAACGGATAAAAGATTGAAATAAATACTATTGAAATTGTTATTACTGGAAATATTCAGCCGCCGGTGAACTTTGGTTGTTGAAATTACTGCCTATGATCGAAGTACCATCAGACATCGGCAGTAAAGTTCCATTTGCGTGCATCCTAGGTAGATAATTATGAACATGATCCGATTGGTTATATACTGATTCCCAATCATCTTTCTGTTCAACGCATGTGTTTGTATTCCAGGTATTGTTACAGTGCACCCACGGCAACTGTCCCGAGCTACTGGTTGTGCTCATTGCCAAAAAATACAGCGACCAACCAATAATAACATTATAGTAAAATGACACATAGAATGCAACCAGCACAGCACAAAATCCAACTCCTAAGGTATAATTTTCAAATTAAAAAAATGTATTTAAAATAAGATTTATGAAGATTTAAATAACATCAATTGCATGGAAAATGATTTTATAAGAATATTATAATTTATAATATATTTTTATCACTTTAATTGAGTCACGTGCACTATCTTCGGCGATCTCTAGATGACCAGATAACTAATTAGTAATTACTTTTTAATCATTTTCACAGAAATACATTATGTTAGGTACTGCTTTGAAATTAAATTTATAATGTAAAAATATTTCTCTCTAATCTCTAAGGAAAGTACACAAAGATATACTTTTAATTTGCTTTTAATAGTAAACGCTACAATAAATTAAAATAAAATATTATATCGGTGTATATATATATATTTATCTTGTCGGTATTTTTATGTGAAAATTTTTTTTTAAGAGAAAAATAATAGAAGTACTTGAGAGTTATTTTATTTTTAGTGTTTAACGAAAAGTCAAGAGTAGTTTTCACATTGAATAACGAAGTTCAATTTCAACATTAAACGTTTGATTTTATACATCGCCTTGCTGTATCACTATGACTCATTATTACCCATTATGGTCTGGATTTTATACTACAGTTTCATAACTTTTTTATTATCTATTAATAGATATTATATTCGATTAAACGCTTAAGTTATGTAGTCAATTTTAATATTTTTCATTTCCCCAGTCGATACAAAAAATAACTATTCACACGACAAAACAAAAAGCAAGGCGAAATGTGTACCATTTATTTACCTTTTAAAATACTCAAATCGGCCTTTTTCTTTTTAATACAATTGAAGTTAAAATTATTTTTATATAATAGATACCACATCAAAAATAATTAAAACATTTCTCGAATTTCCCGGATAAAAGTTCCTGGATAATCTACTAAAAAAATATTCAGAAAATTCCATCAAACCTCTATCCACAATAATTACAACATTATCATTACAATGTAGCTACTTAAAAATGTATTGTGTACAGTTCCAATATGAAAACTTTTGGCAGTTCAACAATAAAATTACATAATGTATACCTGTGTAATAATATTTTGATTAAAAAATCCATTATCATAAATTTATTAATGGAACTAGAATATATCTTATTGTTTTATTTTGACTGTAAAAGATATAAGCTATTTTGTTTCGATGTAAATTCCTATTCAGAGCAATTATATTTTAAACGTAGTTTGATGTTATTATCAAACAGTAATAAATAATATACCTACAAGTAAAATACATTCATATTTATCAATAGTAAAAAAAATTGACTTTGTTATTTAAAAGATGTTTTTATTGGAAAACTTTTAACGAAATTTTCTAAAATGTATTAATTTGTTTTTACAAGTAAATAAAGTACGTAGTACATAGTATATAATAAATACACAGTAATATATATGAATTAATTCAGATTTAAAACTGTTTATCTATGTTTCAAGCAATATTTTACTTTAAATGTACCTTTAAAAAGAGGGCATACGTTCTTCCACACACTTATTGGCCCCTGTCTATTATATTGGCCTAATATGAGTTCCATATAAAATAGGGGAACAGCGCCAAATATTAACATTAAAAAGTATGGTATTAAAAATGCTCCTGTAACACAATAATTAGTAGTTAATGTGTTATGCAAATAATTAGTAAAATGTTTATCATAGTCTTAGAATATTTCATTTATTTTCAAACCTCCGCCGTTTCTGTAGCAAAGATATGGAAATCTCCAAATATTCGCCAAATCTACCGCGAACCCAATAATAGATAGCAAAAAATCTGCATTCCTTTCCCAAGTTTCTCTTTCACCATCATTGATATTAGTGTTTGGGTTTTCTTTACAATCTATTTCATCCACAATTGAGACTACGGCTGTAGATTCCGAAATTATTTTTGAGTTCTTTTTAGTGTCATCTGATGATTTAGCCAGTAACAACCGTATTTCAGTATTTTCTAAAATTATTAAGTTTAAATAATACAATTTTTTCTTCGAAATAAAAGATTAGGGAAAAATGTTAGTTGATTTGAAAACACTTACTTTTTTTTTTTACTTCTACCTCTTTCTTGTTTTGTTTTCGGAGCATTTTCTTTCGCACTTGCCTGTCTTCGTCTTGATCCTCTTCATCGTCGTCGTCATCTTCTTCTATATCATGACTTTTACTACCATTTCCATCATTAGCCTGTTGGTGTAGCTCCTGCTTGTCACTGTAATCGTCTTGATCATCATCCTGGTCATAGTACTGATCGTTCTCAGTGTCTGCCTTGTTTTGACGCTTGCGCCAGAGGTGTTTATTATTACTAGACATAGTATTCGGAGATGATTTGAAAAATTGTCGAAATTTAACTATTGACGAGACCCATAACTTTTTATTTCCACTCTTTTCAACACCAATATCATCGTTATCACTGTCCACAATTTCGACGCTGGTCACGCCGTTGTTGAACATTGCTGATGTCTTCGCTGCAATACCAGTCATATTTGGAGTTGTCTCTTAAATGATTCAACATTTAAAAAAAATTACTGTGGTATAAATAATAATATGTTAATATGTTAATATATTAATATGTTGTAATATTGGGTGACAATATGCACATTAATCACGAAGGGGTAATGGTATTTTCTATCACGGGATAGACGAGAGAGAATTGGCGCTGAGAACACTGACGATCGTATTATAATTTAATAATGGAGAAGCGCGAGAACATCCTGCTTCCTTTACATGGGTCGGACTGATGACGGAGAGTAATATGTCTTAAATATTTTTTAAATTTTATTATTCCGGTCGTCGTCGGTGGCTACGGATTCCCGAGATTCCACAACCACGATCATCGCAGATATGAGGAGGGGGATATCCCATTCCACCCCTATCGATATCCCTTAAAAGGTATGTGCGGCACACACTTTGTACCTTTTACACAGATACGCACACTCGGGCACGCGGCCACACACACACACACACACACACATACACTTATAAGTGATTCGAGGAGACACCGACGGCGTTTATTGCTTCTCGGCGGTCGCTAATGATTGTTCAACGAGGCATATTGGCTTTGGGGGGTGAAAAGCGGGGACAAAAGTTGAGAGGGCGAGAGGCCAAAGGAGGGAAAAAATAAGTAGAAGAATGCGGCGGCAGCATGAGCTGCACGGGTAAGTCAAATACCTAAACGTGCACGAATCATCACCGATGATGATTACCGTCCATTCCCCTCTATACGTTTATGATATATATATGTGTGTGTGTGTGTATAGATATTCCTCAATATACTTCATATATACTTCTTATACCCTCCCGTCACAAAAACCGTACTTCTACTATACGAGAGTGCTATATATTATTAGTGCTTTCTCTACTAACTATAATGTGGTGCCGTATATGTTCCCTCTCGGCGACGACGTCCTTGGCATTTTTATGCCGACGGGTAACGTGGGACCGTCGACGTTTTATATTAAATACGCATACACCCATCATCAACGATGTCAACCGATGATATCGGAGTCCTCGTGTCTCTTCTACAATAACCACTACTAAAATGGTGTTTAATAAAAAAATATATTACTTATATTTGTTACAGGAAAAATTCGCAATGCAAATGAATTTAGAAATAAATTCTACTTGTGTATGGCCCCTGTGTATGATAAAAGTTGTAGGTTTATATCTATTAATATGTAAGAATGTAAAATGTGTGCCAGGCACCTTTATATACATATAACAGTTATCACTTTAACTGTGTATCTGTGAGTGTTTGTTTTTAGCCTGACCATAAAATTTTTTAAAAAGTATAAGATAAAAGGGTTGTATGAACCATTGAAGCGAGAGTCTTAATATTTTTATGATTCGGAAAAATTAGCCAAAAATAGTCAAGAATATTTATTAAAAACAGAGTCTTTATTATATATTTAGGTCATATTTTTTAAATGATTTCCATATTTTGTTTGGGAATTATTGAGAAAATAGAAAAATTATGCCTAGTATACAATCAGTATACACTTATCTGTCTGTATCTCAATTTGTCAAAGAGGTGAAAAATGCATTATTTTTTTTTACTGCATTAAATATGGTTCATCCAATATATTATATTTTTGGCTCCGTACAGAATCTGTAATGTGCTATGTGCATAAATGAATATATGATGTGCACAAAAAGCAATAAAATTAATAATAAATTCATTTTAATATAGTATATATTAAACATATGAGACAGCTGAATAACATCATATTAAAAATGCCTAGGTATAGCTGTAAATTTCCCATACCAATAGGCAATATTCAGCGATATGATAAAAGTATAGTAATAAATAGTTTATAGGTAATACATTATCTGTTTATTTATGCATTATGCATAATCGTTACAATTATTTTATATTTTTACCACTAATAGATTTTTAATATCTAATGAAAATTATTGTATATTAATTAACCTTTGATCAAGTCCACATTCAACACATTAAACAAATTGCAACAATCATTTTATAGTTGTTTTCAATGTAAACAATCATAATTTATGTTTGATAATGTTACTTAGTTCTTAAAGATAAAACATCTATAACAGTTTCTAGTTAATAAAATATAATACTATGTTATTAGGTTATTTATAACCTATAGCTGAAACCTACAACCAATGCTAACTGCAACTAAATAAACCTTAGAGCAAAAATATGCAAAGTCTCAAATTAAAAAATAGAACATTATACTCATAGACTGTAGAAAGTTCTTATACAAAAACTACCTCAGACGAAATCTGAAAAATGATGATTTTTTTTTGGAAACTAATCTCCACTGAGCATCGTAATAAATAATAACTTTCATATCTTATTTTCGGAGGGTTTTTTAAAAGATTTTCAGTGCAATATTTGTTTTTTCTCATGGACCCACACGCAACATTGATAAAACGTCAACACTATTACTGGCTCTTAATTGTATACATCGTTTATTGAACATGCGAAATAATATCTCGATAAAAAAATATGGCTTGTCTTCACACTGACTATTACATTTAAACAACGATACTACTATTGAAATCTAATAAGATAGAATTTTTACATTTCTCAAATGTTTTCCATCCATCAGATTAGACATTTCCTTCTAATAAACAGTACCTGGTCAAAGGTAAAAATAAAATATATCAAATGACAAAGCAAATAAATAATATTTAATTTTTCTTTTTAGCGGGTGTATTTCAGCTGATTGTTAATCAAATTCTATGCAATATAAGAAAAATGCCCTCAAAATATAAACAGAAAAATTACAATATAAAAGTTTAGTTTTTAGAGATTTTATGAATCAAACAAAATATATTGTAAATTGTAATATAATTCAATATTTTAGGAAATCTGACATAAAAGCAATTAACATTTAAATCTGTGGCGTAAAGTCATCACTCATCACTAAAATACTTTGTACTTCCATCAAGACAAAAATTAAAAAACATTAAACCTTGCATTACAATTCATGAACAAAATTTAGTTTAATATTGAAATAATAAAAACTAATACATCTACATACTATAAAATATTTTAAAAATATTACGGTATAATATTGAAAACAAAAAAAACAAGTAACTCACTCTGACATAGGTACAGTAATTAGTAAGTTTCGAGTATATTTTTCCATGACATTAAGTTAATCCTTTTTTAAATTTTAATTAATTGATAAAACAATTATAAATTATAAGTCAATAGCACCACATTACTTACGAAGGTTATACCTATACTACTGTTATACTGTAGAATAGTGTAAATAGACTTGGAAACTTTTGATCTCCTCCCTCCCCCTAATCACCAATCCAGATCAAGTTGTTACCAGAACTACCCTTAATCTCGAAGTTTGAAGCAAAATGTCTTCCTCAAAATTTAGTTAAGCAAAGTTCCAAAAATAAATAAAAACACACATCATTGTAACACGTAGCTACACTTAAAATTTAAAAAATGTAAATAGTATTTGAATGCAAGAATCTATGGTTACGAATCTACTGTGTGTATAGTACACGTCATATGGTAGCCTGCTTTCATTTGTTATTATAATATTACACATAATATGGTATTATTTTTAACATAAAAATATTTTTTCTAAATTTTCATAATGACATAATATACCATATACCTACATTAATTTCCAAAAACTTTAACAATAAATCTAAGAAATGCGGAACTAGCTTTATAGATGAATATTACAATTAAAGTCAAGAGACCTATAGTTTATTCATTTATTAATTTGTGTGTCATGAATCAAACTTTAAAATTAAAAATCATGCTAGGAATTCAAAAAAACAATTATTTTATTATTAATACCTATTACTTACAACTTTAGGATTTTATTGTTATTAATATTTGTCTTACCGATATAATAAAATGAAATTTATTTTATGAGTTTAAGTACATATTAACTCAAGGTATATTATCTTTTTTCCCCGAAAACTTATCTTTTATGACAATGCGAAAACATATCACATGACTAATGTTATAGCAGCAGAAGTGCAATTATATTTTTACTCTTTATTAAATTATGTATAGTTAATATACTTTCTAAATACTCTATCGAATATCGTTATAGTATTATACATTATAATTTTGTGAACTATTCAAATATATATTGAGAAATAAAGACTATAGATAATATAATGAGTAAAGATATAATTTTATAATGTATTCGAGGAAAAATTTGTCATTTTTAAAAATTGTAAAGTGGAGATGTACTCAATTCATAGTCAATATCAAACATATCAGTATTTCGTAATACATATCCACAATTAAGCTACCTATGTATTTTATGTTTTTATCATACTCATTTATACACATTTTAAAGAATCTAAATATGAATTGCAATATTCAAAAAATTAATGGAAATTCTATGGCTGATCCACAAACTGCATTAAAAAAGTAGGTATGTATTACTATGTAACTAATAAATAAAAATTGTTAGTTGTATAAGCTATCAGTTATCTAAGGTTACATCGGAAATTAGTGTGATGTTACTTCCACTCTAGCACTTTTACTTTAGGTAAAATATATAATCATTTGATTACCAACAAATATTTAATTAAGCTAAGGACACCGAAGCAAAGTTCAATAAATATATTTATTATATTTTTATATACAGAGTGATTCACTAAGAATGCTCACCTCCATTTATTCTTTAATAATTAACTTACTAATGGCCAATGGTTATATTTATAATAACCATATTTTATTACTCAGAGAGTGACCTGTTGCGATAAAAACATTTTCAAATAAGAACCTCATTTTTATTAAAATTATTACATAGATGATTTTTTTTTGTAAATCTTCATGTATTTAAATAAAAATTCGAACAAGTAATTTCTGAGGTATAAAATTTCTTATATACTATGGATAATAGCCCTTGAAAATAGGTTAAGTGATATTGGAGCTATAATGATTTGAAGATTACGGTGAATGGGGATTTATCTACTGATCTTACTGATTTATTACAATTTCATCATTAATTGTAAAAATTGTCCTGGAGCTAGACTC